AGCCTGGTTCTCACGCGTGCACCGTTCACGTGCGGTAGACAATCGGCGGAGTGTGATGCCAACGAGAAGTTTAGAGACGATGTTGATTAAACTGATTCCTCTGTGGGTTCCGCAAGAGGATCTATCACCTTTCTTGTAAATCGGTATGATGACCGACTCACACCATTTTTGTTGAAACCTGTTCTCCCTCCGACTATGAGCCGGGTAGTTATGTTAACTCGGAAACGAAGGCTGAGCCTCCATCCCTAAAAGCAGACGGGGACAGCCTGTCTGGGCTGGGGGCCTTAAACCTTTTCAAGTAGCTTGTTTCCCGGGAATCTTCCATTACAGATGGTGGTCTGGCATCAACTGGGAGTATTTGCCCAGTCTAGGTGGAGGATGATAGTTCAGATGTTTGAAGGTGCCCGTTGAACTGAACCTCGAAATGTTCAGCCCATCGATCAAGACGATGTTACTGATCGCGCTGAACCTTGGCACTTAGCGCAATCCCAGCACCATCAACACCGCGAGCTTGGGACACCGTTTCGGCTGACACACGAAGGGTGACGCTCGAAGTCGAGGTTTGGCTAGGGGAACGCAGGGAGTTGATTGCGGTAGGGTCTTGTATACGTGTTTCGGGGGCGCAGCATTCATCTGCGTTGAACGTTTCAAGGCTTTTAACTAAGGTAGCTTGTTGACCAATCTGATAAGGTGTGCGGACATTGAACGCGGCCAAGTGAAAATAACCTTTTGACTTCTGACTGTATGGCCTTGCGGGTAGGACGCTTTGTGATATTCGGTGGCTTGTGTAAACAGTAGGTGTTTGGGGTTATTCGGGATTGAGAGGAAGAACTAGATAGGTCGAAAAGAGGTTTTTCCAGTTGAGTGCCTAAGACTTTAGGACGACATACCTCGCGGTAACCCATACTGACGAAGGGGTTTTTCTGTGGGAACCCTAACCGGAGCCTTCGACTCAAAATTCTGACCCAGAAAGCAGCGAGGCGTAAATCCAACACGGAGGCATGAACGACGCACCCATGCGGGAGGTTCTAGAGACCTGTCACGCACTGCATTTAAATTTAGATTATTTGTTTTGTTCGCCGGTTCGTTCCACAACGGTTTACTTGTCGGTCTCCAGTTTTCTTTCACGGACACTTGCGAATCGTCCGATTTTTTCATTGACAAGTCGCGCTCTCACGGGCTGCAGGATCACTACCGGCCACTTTCTGTTTGATGTCGTACATCCGAATTACTTTTCAGGGGAGGATTTATCACGCGATGTGTCGTGTTCTGCTTTACAATTGTGGGACCTGGCGTCTCTCTGGGGTACTTGGGATGGCAATCAGCTTACCGTATTCGATCACTGATGTTTTCAAATTATTGCCTGTATTTGTTGTGAACATCTTATCGACCGTAGTGAAAACTCGAGAAACTAATCTCTCCGTTCTGTGCTTTTATTTTTTTGTATAATGAAACAATTTTGCAGACGAGAGACGCGTCCAATCAGAGATCTGCCATGCAACTGAGAATGGGGAAAGTCAGTTAGTCAGTGTGGTGGGATTACATTTCATACCTCCTCCCGGGGAGATAATTTGTTGATCTGTATCGTTCGACCACCCTTACTGAAACAGAACTTCCCTAATTCTCGTTTAGATTCAGAAATTCATTTTTGTTTTGTGAATTTGATCGTGGAGATGT